GCCTGGGACGCCAGCCGTGTCCTCTAGTTCCCACCTACAGAGAGAGATGCCTGGTGATGTTTTTTACCAGCAGGTGTCACAGGATAGCCATCTAAATGAAGAGGCTTCAGGTTCATCTGTTCCTGGAATGCCAGTTGCCCAGAAGAGTGGGACATCAATAGCGTCTTCTAGTTCCTATTCCTCAAGAGAGACTCCTGGTGTTTTCCACCAGCAGATGCTGCCTGATACTCCTCTAAGTGAAGAGACTGTGAGAAGTTCATCTGTCCCTGATATATCAGCTGGCCTGATAACAGAGATCCCAACCCTGTCCTCTGGTTCCTACCCAGACAGAGCAGAGCCTGGTGCCTTCTACCGCCAGGAGTCACCAGATAGTAATCTAAGTGAAGAAACGGTGAGGAGTTTACCTGCTGCTGGTGGACCAGCTGACCAGAAGACTGGGCTACCGGCAGTGCCCTCTAGTTCCCACCCACAGAGAGAGAAGCCTGGTGTTTTCTATCAGCAGGTGTTACAAGATGGTCCTCTTACTGAACAGACTCTGGAAAGCTCACCTGCTGACCAGAAAACGGGCATACCAGCCGCACCCTTTAGTAGTTCCTACGCACATGGTGAGAAGCCTGGGGTTTTCTCCCAGCAGGCATTGCCAGATAATCATCTAACTGAAGAGACTCCGAAAGGTCAGGCCGTGCCTGGACAGCCTCACCAGCAGGCTGGAATTCTGACAGAACCCTTCAGTTCCCACTCACCTCTAGAGAAACCTGAGACCTTCTTCCAGCAGGTGTTACCAGATAGTCAGCTAACAGAAGAGTCTCTGAAAGCCTTACTTGTTCCTGGCCCAGCTGACCAGAAGACTGGGATACCAACAGTCACCTCTAGTTTATATTCACAGGGAGAGAAACCAAATATTTTTCACGAACAGGAGTTGCTAGAGAGTCTGACAACTAAAGAATTTCTGAAAAAGTTACCAGTTGACCCTAAGACTGGGATACAAAAAGTGTCCTCTGGTTCCTACTTACAAAGAGAGAAGTCTGGTATTTTCTACCAGCAGCCATTGCCAGACAAGCTTCCAACTGCTGAATCTGTTAAAGTTTTCGCTGTTCCTGGGGCAGCTACTCAGAAGACCGGGATACCATCGATACCCTCTACTTCTCCCTCCCATAAAGAGGAACCCAGGACTCTCCAACGACAAGAGTTGCCAGATGAGCATGTTCCTGAAGAGTCCCTGAACGTTTTAACTGTCCCTGGGTCAGCTGGTCCAAAGACGGCAAGACCAGCAGCGCCCTCTTCCTCCTCACATGCGGAGACACCCAGCACTTTACACCAGCAAGCCCTACCTGACGGTCAGACAACGGAAGAAGCCCTCAGAGAGTCACCTGTTCCTGGGCCAGCTGACCAGAAGACTGGAACACCAACAGGACCCTCTCTCTCCTCCTTACCTGAGGAACAGCCTGCCATATTCTACCAGCAGGAGTTGTCAGACATAGACCTGACTGAAGAAACTCCTAAAGTTTCAGCTGTTACTAGACCAACTGACCGAAAGTCAAGGATACCAGCTGGGCCACCTCCCATCTACTTACAGAGCGTGGGCAAGGAAGGAGTCTTGTCAGGTGGTCAGCTAACTGAAGAATCTGTGAAAAGTTCACCTATTTCTGGACCAGCTGACCAGGAGACCAGGACTCCAACATTACTCCATGCTTATCTCTTACCGGGAGAGAAGCCCAGTACTGTCCACCAACAGAATTTTCCAGATAGGGATCTAACTGAAGAGGCTCTGAAGTTTTCAACTGATCCTGGAGCAGCTGACCAGAAGACTAGATTGCTTCTCACTCCCGAAAGTTCATATGAACACAAACTGAAGGTCACGGGTTCAGTTGGTACTGGCGCAGATGACCAGAAGACTGAGTCACTAGCAGCTCCTGATTCACATACAGAGAAGCCCAGGATTTCCCTTGTGGTTGGACCAGATGAGCAGAAAACGCCATTACTGACAGTTGTCTCGAGCTCCTATTCCCAAACCATAAAGCCCAGGGTTTTCTTTCAGGGGGAGTTGCCAGATAGACATCCCAGTGAAGAGAATCTGAAAATTTTAACCATCCCTGAACCAACTGATCGGAATCCTAGCGCACCAGTACCTCTTCCTAGCTCCTATCCGCAGACGGAGAAGTCTAGTCATTTCTATCCATTGGAATTGTCAGATAAACACCTAACTGATGATACTCCTACGGTTTCAGTTCCTGGACCAGCTGGCCAGAAAATCGTGTTACCTCCGAGTTCTTTTGCATCCAGGGAACAGTCTGATGCTTTCTCTCAACAGGACTTGCCAGGCAGACATGTAACTGAGGGTACCTGGATGGTTTCAGGTGGTTTTGGGCAGAGAGAACCGATCATTGTGTTGCCAATGGTTCCCTCGCGTACTTCCGGGCACAGTGAAAAGGACAAGCCTGTTTCAGACCGTCCCCAAAGGGTAATAGGTCATTTTGATTCCTTTGACTCCAAGGTTGGCTCAAAGATTTTGCCTTTAAAACCTCAGGCTGAGGGTGGAGATCAAACACATAAACCGGAAACCATAGATTTTGGAGGCTTGGGCTGTGAGGAAATTCAAAATAATGACAGTAGTTCCAAAACCCTTAGAGAAATTCAGACACTTTTAATGGAGGCAGAAAATATAGCTCTGAAACGATGCAACGCCTCTGCTCCCCTCATCCCGTTCAAGGATGTCGGTGACGTTTCCTGTGTACAACCCAGGAAAGTTGTTTGCTTTAAAGAACCCGTCGTAGCCGAAGAGTGCAGTGTTGATTTGGGCCAGAAACAGCCACTGGAGAGAAACGTAAGCGACAGGTCTGTGCAGAAGGATGGCAGCACGCAGACAAGCCCAAAGTGCCAGAGAGATGCTGGGAACTGGGAGGTGATAGATTCAGCCACCGTTCAAAGTTCTTTCCAGGAAGCAGAACACAAGGCCCGGGTGGCATTAGAGGAAACCTTTAGGCAGTGTGAAACCACGAAGTTGGTGAGAAGGGCTGAACCTCAAAGGTGTAGTGGGATCCATGGGAGTGAAATTGTCATCCCGGTCATGACCATCCTCCACAGCGATTCCAGCAGTGACACAAGTGATGGGCACGGGTCCTGCTCCTGGACCAGCCTTTTACCAGAGTCTGTGGATTCCCTGTCGGACATGGTCTTCAGCTTTCTTCCAGATGCTGCTTCACCCACACCTAGCGTAGCTGATAGAGAGGAAGAATGTGTGTCGGAGAGTGATGATGGGGACAGCAGCAATGTGGACTCGCTGGCCGCTCACGTGAAAACCCTGTTGGAGTGTGAATCGTCGCTGAACCACGCCAAGCAGATCCTGAGACATGCGGAAGAGGAGGAGTGTCGGGTGCGAGCTCGGGGTAAGAGGGGGTGTTCTCTCTCGCTTGTGAACACCGGGGTTCGTGACAGGCGTCGGGACCACTTTGTGTACTTTGATGTAGAATTGTATAAGTGAGTATGTTTTCTTACTGTAATTCAGAAAAACCCCTTTTGACCAGTAGTGCAGCTGAAGTGCTGTGTTAATAGTGCTTGTCGGAGTTCACGGAGCTCTGGTGGCCTCTTGGATAAGGAGGTTTTTTTGGTGTGTTTTTTTTTTTAAATTTTTTTTTTATTTTAATAGTTTTAATGAACATTTACAGAGATTTTGGATTTCCATTCATTCATTGTTGCACTTTTCTCCCTGCCCAGCCCACCCCCCGCCCCAGTTCGCTCCTCTCTTTGAAAGGTAAAAGAAAAATTCTTTGATATACAGTCCCCTCACACCCCTCCCACCACCCCAAGTACACTCCACTATGCAACCTTTTTTTTTTCCACTATGCAACCTTAATTGTGGATTCTTGTGATAACCATAATACCCTATCATACATCGCTTTTAAATTATTCTTTCCCTCTTCTGTTTCAATGCAGTATACACAATCTGTCCAGTTTTTCTCAGTCTCCCATCCCTGATATCAGTCCCATTTTACAGCAGTGGCACCATGCAGTATTTGTCCTTTTGTGACTGAGATATTTCACTCAACATAATGTCCTCCAGGGTCACCCATTTGTTTGTTTGGTTTTTTATTATTTTTTGTGTGTACCGTCAAATCAGATCTCACTGGTACAGGAGGAGATTGTCCCTCCTTCTCCAGCAGAGCATCTGGAGGATTTGAACCATATACCTCTGGGATTGCAATGCAGCTTCTTGCCACCAGAGCTCCCTTGATAAGGAGTTTTGTTGTCAGTGCAAAGGTATGCTACTTGAATTCACAGGTTCTCTGTGGGAGAAAGATGGGCAGTCTCCTCCTGTGCAGTTTATTGCCTCTGAAAACCTGCTGGAGGATCAGCTATGAGTCAGTTCCAACTCGAAGGTACACAGCTACAGTCTGAGTTTAGGATCTTGGAGTTTTAATGTCTGAAGGAGAGATGTAACTTGGATTTCAAAGTAACTAAAGTCTGCATGTTTCTCTGTGCTGCCTAATGCTGTATTCTTGTGAGGCTGTGAAAAGTCACCAGTGTTCTTTGCTTCAATTTGTTCTGTGTCCTAAAATTACTTACATTTCCCCCTGTCCTTTGTAGTGAAAGGATCTGTGCTGATCTCAGATATTTAAAACATACTAACCAGATACCTTACACTAGAATGTGGGTTCAAAGTATAAAAGAGAATGCATGCTAGCTAGCCCCATTAATCTAAATTGTAAAATTATATTTTAATAAGGGAAAGCAAAAAAAGCTAAAGACAGCCTAAGAAATATATTGGAAAAGAAAAGAAGTTATAAGCAAGTTAGTTCTAGACTTTATTCATATTTTAAAAAAGAAGGCACAGGTTTTATTTATTTTTAACTACTCTTACTGAAACAGCTTCTTGTTGGAACAGGAAGGCCTAGTGTCTCAGGCAGTTCAGATCCTCTCGTGGCTCCATGGGAGAAAGGTAGACAGACATTTTCCTGCGGGTGTGTGCGTTAAAACCTCACCCACCTGGAGGAGGCCACTGTGGGTCGCAGCCAGCCCAGTGGCAGTGAGTGGAATTTGTTGTGATTGTTGTGGTTATTGCTAAGTGCCACTGCCCAGGCTCTGACTCCTCGCAGCCCTCCGTACCACAGAACAAAACCCCGCTCCATCCCACAGCGTTCTCAGCATCTCCTGTGCTTAGTGAGGCTCATGTGCAGTCATAGTGTCAGTGTATCTCAGTGAGGTCCATCTCTCCTTTGATGCCTCTCCGCTGTTCTGAGCATGATGTCTATTTCTTTGCTTTTCCTAATTGTAAACCTCTGAGAGCTGGACAGTGAATAAAGATGACAGAAGAATTGATGCCTTTGAACCGTGGTGTTGGGAAAGAGGACTGAATATCTCATGGACTGCCAAAAGAACAAACGGCTATATCTCAGAGAAGGTGCATCCAGAGTGCTCCATGGAGGCAAAGATGATAAAGCTTCGTCTCATGTACTCCGGGCATGTTGTGAGGAAAGGCTGTTCCTTGGAAAGGGACATCATGCTTGAGAATGTGGAAGGATGACGCAAGAGAGGAAAACACTCAACCAGGTGGATTGACACAGTGACTGCAGCAGTGGGCAAAAATGTGTCAGACTGTGAGGATGTCACAGGATAGGACAGGGTTCAGATCTGGTCACTACGAGTCATATGCAACTCAATGACACTTTACAGCAATCTGATAACATGCCCGAAGTATATTAAAAAAAAAATCCCACCATCTTTGCAAAACAGATTTATTTATACTTTTGGCGGTCCATGTGATACTCAATAATCTTTCCCAATGCCACAGTTCAAAGGCATGAACTCTTCCATCTTCCTTACTCATGGATCAACATTTACATGCAATTGAAGGTACTCATGGCTTGGGGCAAACACACCTCCGTCTTTAAACTCATATCCTTGCTCTGTAGCATTTTGGAGAGATCTTTGACAGGAGATTTTTCCAGTGTCTTTTGATTTCTTGACTGCTCTTTTTATGGGAGTTATTTTGGATCCAGTAAAATGAAATCATTGACAGTGTCTGTCTTTTCTCTATGATGATGTAGCCTCTTATCCCAGTAAGGATTTTTGATTTCTTCATGTTGAGCTGTCATCCATATTAAAGGCTGTACTTTCTGTTCTTCTGCTGTAAGTGCTTCATAATTTCACTTTCTGCAAGCAAAATTGTGTCAGCTTTATAATACAGGTTGTCTATGACACTTCCTCCAATTCTCAGGCCACATTGTTTTTCATATAGTTCAGCTTACAGGTAGGCTGTGTTGATATGGAGAAAGGAGACAAACCTTGACAATTTTCCTGATACTCACCCATGTAGCATTCCCTTGTTCTGTTCAGCCAGCTACCTTTTGGTCTATGTATACATTTTGCATGTGCACAATTAAGCTTTCTAGGATCCTAATTCTAATAATTCTCTCTGTAATTTGCTATGATCCATACAGTCAAATGCCTTTGCATAGTCAGTAATACAGAAGTTAATCTCTTTCAGGTATTCTCTGATTTCAGTGAGGATTTACCTGACATCAACTCTGATATCCCTAATGCCATGATCTCTTTTGAATCCAGCTTGAATTTCTGCGGTTACCTGTCCATTTTTTTTTCATTAATTCTTTTTAAATAATCAAGAATTTGCTTGCATGTCGTATTAGTATTATTTGGTAATTTCCACTTTCTCTTGGATGAACTTTTTTGAAATGGGAACAAAAATAGGTCTGTTCAGTTGGCCAGTTTTCTTGACACACACCAGTGAGCATGTCCAAGGCAGCTGTGCAAGGCTGAAACACCTCAATTGATAATACACTTTTAATTTCTGGAGGCTTGTTTTTGCTCACGCCCTTAGTGCAGCTTGGATTTCCTTTTTCAGTACCGTTGGTTCTTGATCATACGGTTCCTCCTAAATGGATCAGTATGGATCAGATTCTTTTTGGTACGGTGACCCTGTCTATGCTTTCCGTAACTTTTATACTTGCTGCATTGTTGAATATTTTGCCAATTTAATTCTTCAGCATTGCAGTTCGAGGCTTGACTTTGTTCTTCCAGTTTTGAGAAATGCTGAGCTTCTCCTCTCTCTTTGTTTTGCTTTGCCTGGTGCTTTCAAGCTGCCCTTTGAGATTTCTGGTTCCCTTATCTCATTATTTCTTCTTTTCATTTTAGTTTTTCTCCACTCAGTAACAAGTTTTAGGATGTCTTCTAATACTTGTTTCGGCTTTTTCTTGACTGTCGTCTGATGCTCTTTTGCTTTTCTTCATGGCTGAGGTCCTTGATGTTACCAGGGTAGTGACTGAGTGTTAAGTTTTTGTGGGTTTTTTTTTGGTAGTGTTAACTTGATTGGATATTATATGTAAAGTGATCTCTTTGAAGAAACTTACAGAATATGTTGAGTTGTGTATTTTAAAAATCAGACTTGTCAGAATATGGTCTCTCTCTCAACAGCTTATAATAGTCTTATCATGTAATCATGAGCAGATAACTTTTTGCTAAGGCTGTGTCATCATTATGTGACTTATAATAATGGGCTGTGCACTTAACGGTTACTCTCAGATGTCCGCCTTTACATTTTCTTATTTCAGATGTGTTTATGCTTCCTTTCCAGCCTGGAACCTGAAGTTTAATCTGACTCACGGATGCGGACGCTCCATTTCAGAATTAAATGACGATGACAGGAGAAAAGTGGAAGAGATCAAAGCCAAGTTATTTAGTCATGAAAAAACAGTGGACATGTCCCAGGTATGAGCGAAACATGGAAATTCATGGGAAAGTGTCAAGAAGAGGGTCATGGGGTTTGGCTCTCCCACTCCTGGTACTGATGGCTCCAGCTGAGCCTTAATTTGTCCAAAATGAAGATTTAAGGTTCTGTTACATTTGCTTCATCTTACATTAATTTGTTGGTGCTGCTGCTGTTAGGTGTCATCAAGTTGAGTACAACCCTGTGAAAAAAAAAGAACTGAACCCCCTATCCTGTCCTGGGCAGCCTCATCTCTGACATCCCTGAGCCTGTTGCTGCATTCACTATGTCAAGCAGTATCGCTGGGAATCTTCCTCTGTTTCTGACCCTGTACCTTTCCAAGCATGATGTCCTATTTCAAGGGACAGCCCCTCCTAACAGCATGCCCAGGGTATGTAAGATGAAGCTTCACTAACCAGACCTCTGTGGAGGACCTTCCCCAAGACATTCTTGTTTGTTCTTCTGGCTGCCCATGGGATATTCAGTATTCTTCTTTAACACCACAGCTCAGGCATCCGTTCTTCTTTTGTCCTCCTTATTCATTGTCTGGTTCTCAGATGCAAAGTGTGATTGGGAAGTCAGTGGCTTGAACACACGTACCATAGTCTTTAAACTGACATCATTGCTGCTCAGTGTTTTGGAGAAGTCCCTGACAGCAGCCTTTCCCAATGCTGTATGTCTCCTGTTCTTCTGACTGCTGGTACCAAGGGTGTTGAATGTGGGTCCAAATTCATTACTTGAAGAAAATTTATATTAGAACAATCAAGAATTAATTTACTTGTTGATATTTTAGAACAGAGCACTAAATGTCAACTGTATAAAAATGGCTTTTTTTGGTAATAGTACTTATTTCTTCTTATTTTTAACCATTTCATGCATAAGAAGAACTTTTCTGAAATGTATTTGGAAGAGTACAAGAACTAGAATGTAGCCTTTGGGTTCTCTTCCCAGTCCCACCTCTTGTCTATCCTAACCTGTCATGAGATGCCTGCCTTTTCAGCATGATTTTGAACTTCATATAGATGGGATCACAATGGTAAATATTCCTATAGGGATTTTTATTTACACATTATCTTTTTTTTCCAAATAATTATTTTTTATTTTATTATTTTTTTGTGTGTGTATGGTCAAATCAGATCTGATGGTACAGGAGGAGATTGCCCCTCCTTCTCAAGCAGAGAATCTGGTGGACTCGAACCGTGTACTTTTGGGATTGCAGCACAGCCTCCCGCCACCAGGCAACCATAATCTTTGCTTTTGAGATTCACCAAGGCAGTTTGGGCTGGGGTTTTATTCCCTGGATATATGGTATTCTTTTGCATGAAGATTTATCACAATTTATCCATTCTTCCCTAAATGATGTTGTTGTTGTGTATCCTAGAGTCAGAACCAATTCATAGCTGACCCTCCGGCAGGTTTTCAGAGGCATTTAATCACACAAGAAAGAAGATTGCCCATCCTCCTCCACTGGAGCAGCTGGTGGGTTAGAAATGCCTTTGGGATTGCAGCGCAGCTTCTTGCCACTAGGACATTTGAATTAACTTTTTTTTTGGTAGGATGAATGTAATAATTGATAACAATAAACATTTTATACTGTTGTGATATGATTACTTGCCATAGTGTCTACACAATGCTTGTTGTGATTGTTGTTATGTGCTGTCAAATCGCCTGCAACTCATAGCAACCCTGTGTACAACAGCTCTGAACCGTGCTCTCTCCTGAGCCAACTTTATTGTCTCTGACACACCTACCCCCATGATTTTTATTTAGTAATCAATCCATCTCATCGAGGGTCTTCCTCCCTTGTGCTGCCCCTCCACCCTCCCAAGCATAATATACCTTTCCAAGGACTGGGCCCTTCTTGTAAAAATATGTCAGATGGAGCTTCATAAAATGCTTACCAGTAACTGGAAGAAATTATTAATTCTGTAAGCATTGACATGGACTGATTCATACCAAGTTTCATCATTGAACTTCTCTGCCTGAGCTTAACTATTTGGCTTATCTCAAGTTTAGAGACATCTTTTTAAAGTTTAAATATGTAAAGTATACAATTACAAACATGTATATGTTTGCAAACAACAGAATTAACCGATTTCCCAGTGATCCTTATTTTCTAGTTTTATTTTCTTGTTTGTGATTTTGTTTCTAGGCTCCTTAGTAACCACATTGCTTTTGCTTGGGTAGATTTCTGGTTTGTCTGTGTTCCCGTAAACTATGGTGTGCTCAGTTATTACTGAGTGTGCCGTCCCCCAAGTATGAAGAAGTATCTGGTAGTTTACTGTTAATGAATTCCTAAGATCTCTAATGATAAAACATTCTTTACTCATTTTATTGTAATTTGAGTGCAAGTTTTCACAGCAAATTAGTTTTGTCTTCCACTGTTCATAGGTATTTTGTCTTCTAGTACTAATTATAATACAGTTTGTATTCATGCACTTCTCACTTCCTCCCATGATTCTCATATCCATTAATCCTACCTCTTCTGTCTTTAGGGCTTTATCCTTGGGCAAATGCTCTTCTCTTGACCTGCATATGATCAATTATTCTAAGGAGTGAGTGCCTCCCTGGTGTTAACTGATCCTCTCAGAGGCCTGTTGTTGGGCTGAAAACTGAACCACAGAGAAGGCGTCATGACAGTTTCTGTTAGACCAGAAAGCCTGGCTGGTTTTATATTTTCCTCCAATCAGTACTTCTGTTGGATCCCTTTCCAAGTAGTCAGTGGTGGTAGCCAGGCTTCATCACTTTCTGGTCTCAAGATTGTGGACGTTGACGTTCACATGATCTTTCAGTCTAACTGTTTCTATGCATCTTTGCTTTTCTTACTTCTTTGTTCCAGACAAGGAGTGACCAGTAATTGCATTTCTGATGCCTGCTCACAAACTTGTAAGACCTTCGTAGCTGCTTGCCAAAATAGGATGTAGAACATAATCTTTTTAACTTTGTTAACACAGATTAACCTTGACGCCTCCCACGACTGGTCCTTTTTAAAGCCATAGAGCAGCATCCCATTCCCTCGGAATGTTTGATTATCATTAAGAAATTTATGTAGCTTTGCCCCCTGTTGGCTCTGCTATTTGCATATGTTGTTGTTGTTATGGGCTGTTGAGTCGTAACTCACAGCGACCCCATGCCCAGCAGCTCTGAATCATGCTCTATCTTGTGCCAACTTTATTTTGTCTGACACAGCTATCCCTATTACTCCAATCACTGAGTCACTATCTCATCAAGAGTCTTCTTCCTCCCTTGCACTGTCCGTCCACTCTCCCAAGCATGACATCCCTCTCCAACGACTGGTCCCTCCTTGCAACACTCCCACAGTGTGTCAGACAGGGCTTCAGAATCTTTGCCTCAAAGGAGCAGCCTGGTCTCACCCTCCCTAGGACGGACCTGTTTGTTCTCCTAGCAGTCCATGGTAGTATATTCAGTACTCTGCTTCAACGCCACAGCTCAAAGGCATCAGTTCTCCTGTCATCCCTAGTTATTGTCCAGCTTTCTGACGCGTAGCAAGTAGTTGCGAAGACTCTGGCCTGGATCAGGTGCACCTGACTGACATAGCTGTGTCCTTCCATTTTTGCTCATATCCCATTGGCTGGTCACGTGGTCACATCTGTTGTGAAGCATACTGGAAATGTCTCCCTTTTGGTGGCCGGCAAAGGACAGAACGAGGGGCCTTTATTAGGAAAAAAGGGCAAATGAGTCCTAGGGACCAAAACCAGATTTGCTGTGCTTACTTCGGTGAACGTTTTGAGATCTGTATCATTCTACAGTTAGTTGTTTCTTGCTGTTTTATTATGAAAGAACAGTACAGCTTGAGCTTCATGGCCAAATATTGGCCAGAATGGAAAACTGGTGTTTACCTATTAGGAATGATTTCATCTAGGGATCTGTTTTTGTTTTCTAGGGTTTGCAGAGTCCACAGGGAATAGAATGCAGACCAGAAGCAGTGTGTAGCCACATCATTATTGAGAGCCATGAGAAAGGATGCGTCAGGACGCTGATGACCCAGCAAAACCAACTCGATGGTCATCCTTGTGTCTGCAGATTGGACAAGCCGGAAGTTGTGCTCCGGGGCCAGCAGAGCTCACCGCCCTGGAGAGATGTGCCCTGTGACCCCTCTAGGTCTCTCGACCAGAGCCACCCCCATTTCCGAGTTTGGAACTCCTTGCAGTTACGAAGTCATTCCCCGCTGCAAAACTTCACCGCCAGTAACTTTAAAATTAGCAAGGATCCGCAGGTGCCCTTCCGTGGAAAGGTGGACCCTTGGTTGTCAGAGACAGTGGAGACTGTCTGTGCATCACCTGAGGGAATTGACCTTCATTCTCAACCAAGGCTGCCCCCAGAACCCATGAAAAAGTTCACCACTTCCATCACCTTCTCATCTCACCGACACACGAAATGTGTTTCCGATTCCTCTGTCTTTAAGGTTGGTGTTACCGAAGGTGGGACCACAGCGTCGGTGGGAGTGTTCAAGTCTCATTTCACTGAAGAGCACCATCCTCATAGAGCTCAAAACCAGAGAACCTCTTCCCCGTCAGCATTTAAAATGTGTAGCCATTCACCTGGTGAAAACCTGGCTGTTCTAGCAGAGACTTGGCAGAACCAAAAGTTTCCTATTGGCTGTGAGCGCTCCCACCAGGAAGTAGCGGACTGCAGAGCGGATCATCGTGATGCCAGCCACAGTGCTCATTTCTCTAGCATGACGAGGCTGCGTTCCCCACGAGGAGCCAAAGAGAAGCCTGCGGCCCTGCCTCGAGACATCCCCTCACTCATCTTTCTCGAACAGCGTGAGCTCTTGGAACAAAGCAAAGCCCTGTGTGCCGATTACCGCACGAGGAAGCCCTCTTCCCCCCTGCCTCAGCATCAAGACCATCTTGCTCCATGTCTGGCTTCTCCTGTTTTCTTGGAGCAGCGAGAGCTCTTAGAACAAAGCAAAGCTTCAAATACAGATCAGCAGCTAAGAGAGGACCCTTCTTCCATTCCTCACGGCCAGGACTGTGTAACTGTAGACCTCCCCTCAGACATTTTCCTTGAACAACGAAAGCTCTTTGAGCAAAGCCAAGCTGCATACGTAGATACCCACTATTCCTCCTTTCCTCAAGATCAGGAATGTATAGCAGAGAAGGATCATCAACTTAAGCCTCTGCCACACGTTTCTGACACCTTAAACATTGATGACAAGTTGAGTAAAATGGTCTCCCAGGCAGTCCCCAGACCCTGCTCTCCGCCTTCAAATAGAAAAGCTGTCTCCTGTGTCCGTATAACTCTTTCTCCCAAGGCTCCTTGCAAGGTAGATAGTGGAACTTTAGATAAGAGCTGCACTTCACTGGATCCTATTTCTTCATCGAGGACTGGAGAGTATGATTCCGAACTACAAACTGCTACTTCAAGATCATCAGATCCGACCTCAGAGCCTAAATCCTCACTTGACTATCAGGCCTTCCATTTTCCAGGTGAAGGTGGTAAGGACTTGAAGGTCCTACCTCAGCACAGGCAGACCCAAGTGAGCAAGTCAGATCTGGAAGGGTCTCTCCATCCCACGGGGACGCCAGTGTCTGCTGACAGGTGAGTCTCTTTGTAATAAGCTGCTGGCGCTTGTGAGAAAGGGTTTAAAATACTGTTAGGTAGATAGGTGTTCTTGGGGGAAGACAGAATGATTAGGGTTGATTTTATCTTACTAATCTGCTGCAAGTCATTCAGGAAATGAGTATCTAAGAGAACAGGCAAACATAATGTAAACTTTCCAAGGGATTTTGACAAAACTTGCAAAGATGCCATTGAATGCCAAAGATGCAGCAGCCCAAAGCTGATTCTTCTGAGTTAAGGGTCAGGTTGACTTGTCCCCATCTTTTCACCAATCCTGTCATTTTTGTCACAGCACACTCTACTTCTCCACAAGGTTCTAGCACTCTCTGCAGTACTCACAGAGATCTCACAGAAATACTCGTGACTGTGGTGTCTCCTAATTTCTCCAGAAGTGCTGTACTCAAGTTTCCTATCACTGTGGAATCATTTCTTTCTCTCTTCACCTCTGTTAAAGTTTGATGTTTATGTCTTGTGACTCTGTCATTGGATGCATAGATATTAATTATATCTTCTTGTTCAGTTGACCCATTGAACGCTATATAATGCCCTTCCTTGTCCTGGCTTTTGTCTTGAAGACTATTCTATCAGAAATTGACATTGTTATTCTTGTGCTTTTGATTCCTGTCTGCTTGATAGGTTTTGTCCACCGTTTTTTTGTTCTGTTTTTGCCCTTGTGTCAAAAGTCTGTTTCCTATAGACAGCATATAAATGGGCCATGTTTTCTTATCCATTCTGCTACCCTTGTTTTCTTGACTGGTGGTAAGTTCCTGCTGCAGTGAATATCTAAACAGCAGAGGAAGTACCTTCATGAAAGGTTCTGGTTTTGGTCTCTTCATTTGTTTAAACCCAGAGAATGCACCAACAAGCAATACACAACTCAGTAGACAATGTGTTGTCACATGCTGCTAATTCACACCCAGGTATGGACAGCAGAGACCCAGTGTGGGGGGTATCAGCCTCACAAAGGGTAAGCCAGAGATACTTACAGTCTCTGGTCAACAGGAAATATTACTTGATCCAGCAGCTATGTGATACTTAGGCCTGTCTTTCGTCCAGCCTCAGGGCCTACTCGCCAGCCAGCTCTCTTCTTTCTTCTGTTACCTGTTGGCACTGACTGCAGAGGTAAAGAGGAGGGGTGATTTATCCCCTCAGGCTTTCAGGCCTGAGGAAAAGCTTTCACTTAGTACCTTAGCTTTTGAGGTTGATACAACTTCTCAAAATATTTCTCATAACTCTTTCAGTATTCCTTGAAGCTACTTTGGGGAAGAGATTTTGCTCTTTGATAGGCAAGGGATGTACTAACCTGCTTTGTCTTAATCTCTTAACCCTGCAGACCACATTCCATTCAGAAAGTGTCCTCAGACGCAGTCACTCAGATCACAACAGAAAGTTCGGAAAAGACCTTGTTTACGTCCGAGATTTTTATTAATGCCAAGGATCGCAGTAATAAAATTCCAGGGTCCTATCCGCATTGGCCATTCAAAACTCCTGACATACATCCTTCAGTCCAGCAGAAGATGACTACTCGTGGTACACAAGGTAAGAAAATACCATGACATTTATTTCGGCTTTCATTTGTGCCTGCATCAGGACGCTGTGGGCTGTCTGTGACCAGTACTTCTAACCCATGAGCTGCTCCTTGACAGAAAGGTGTACAGGTTTGTACAGCTGAGGAAATTGAGGGTCTGTGGAGTTGGAATGAGTGGTCCTCCGACAGGGATATGCAGCCGAGGAAATCTGGTCAAGGGTCTCTGGAGTTGGAATGAAGGGATATGCAGCCGAGGAAATCTGGTCAAGGGTCTCTGGAGTTGGAATGAATGGCAGCTGATAGGTTGGGTTTTGGTTTTGGTGTCTTTCTAGGGAGAACACAAATTGTTCTTGCTTGAAACATTGTTAATCTAAACATTATGGTTGTTAAATACCGTTGAGCATGGTTCTGAACTCTGCCCTGTCCACACCGTCCTCATCTTCTCTGACACCCTTGAGCCATTGCTGCAGTCGCTCTGTCCGTCCACCTCCCTGAGAGGCTGTTTTTCTCTTACTCTCTACCACCTTTCTAAGCACAATGTCCTTTTCCAAGGATGGCCTCGCCTCACATCATCCCCTAAATATGTGAGATAAAGCCTCTTCATCTTTTGTCTCTAAGGAGCACTTGTACAAGACGTATTTGTTTTTTTGTCAGTGTTTGGAATATTCACTACTCTTCTCCAACACTACAGCTCAAAGGCATTGACTCTTCTTCATTCTTCCTGATTCATTGTCCAACTTCTAGAAGCGTAACAAGTACTTGATAATACCATAGCTAGAATCGATTGCACCTTCATCTTTAAACTCACATCATTTCACCCTAATATCTTGAAGAGATCTTTGACAACAGATTTATCCAATATAATACGTCTTTGGATTTCTTGACTGCTGGATCTAACGGTATTGATTGTGGGTCCAAGAATTTGTTTTCTTTTTTCTTTTTTTTTATTTTCATTCTTGCGCATTTACTTCCCCCTCCTTTCCTCTCCATCCCCCAGCCCACCATGCAGTGCATCCCTTGTTTGAGGTTGTTGTCCTACATAATGCCTAATCATTTATTCCTTAAGATCAGTTCTTCCCCTCCTGTGCACCAAAGAGTGTTCATGATCTATCCACTCTTTTCCCATTCTCTCCCCAGCTCCCCCATGTCTTCTTATTTTGTAACAGTCGTGTTCTTCAGTATTTGTCCTTTTGTGACAGAGATATTTCACTCAGCATAATGTTGTCAAGGATCCCCCATGTTGTGTAATGTTTTACAAGTTCATTGTTTTGCAGTGCTTCTTAATATTCCATTGTGTGAATATATCATAGGATTTCTGTCCATTCATTTGTTGATGGGGGATCCAAGCAATTTTAAATCACTGACACTTCAACCTTTTCTACTTTTATCATGATGTTGTCTTTTGGCCCAATGGTGAAGATTTTTGTCTTGCTGTTAAGATGCAATCCATATGGAATTCTCTGATCTTCTGCAAGAAGCATTTCAAGTCCTCTTCACTTTCAACAAGCAAGGTTGTGTCATGATTGCTATGAAGTGTAATATCTGTTCTCTTTTTACCTTAATTATGTTTTAGTGTTGGATGTGATATATTATGTTTATAACAGTGTTAATAACATGTGTGAACTTGTATTTCTTGTGGATAGCGTATCGTTTCATCCACAATACTTGTGATAATAATATATAGGGACATACACAATAAACTGTAGAAGTTTGCTTTTCAAGGGGCAGGTAAATGAATGTCAGCTTACAGTAATGTAATAAATAGGTAAAAAATAGAGAGTTGTACACACACACACACACACTCTTCTCAACTTCTGATTTCTAAAACAACCCTAGGGAACCAGGTTGTCCCTGGCTACTCTGTGTTTACAACTTGGGATCCGCAGCTCTCTGGGAAGCACCTATCCCGGTCATGTCAGTGGAGCACAGCTGAGCCTAGAGGTAGTCTTTCCTAAGAGCAGTTTTTTGGTTTTTTTTGTGTTTTATTTAATTTTGTGTGTGTGTGTACCAGCCAAATCGAATCTGTTACAGGAGGAGATTGCCCCTCCTTCCCCAGCAAATCATCTGGTAGATTCAAACCACGTACCTCTGGGATTGCAGTACAGCCTCTTGACACTAGGCCACCTTTAAGAGAGGTTTCTAAGAGCTGCTTTTCACTCCTAGGAATGTAATAACACCTGTTTTTCTAGGAAGAGAGAGATATATCAGTGAATAGCTAGCAGTCACTAAAGTCTGTGTTTGGAATGTTAGATTCTATCATATCAGTGCTGTCTTTCAGGGCTTTTACAATAGAATGTACATGTACACACACAAAGATCTAATACAGTATATACTTAGTTGGTAGGAGATACAAAGGTGGTTTTACCAGGATGAGACATAACCCCTTGCACTCCAGGTGCTGACCCCTGCGATTTTCTCAGATGGGAAACTCAACAGCATAATTTGTGGTAGTGAAGTATGCATTTGTACTTACCCCTGTTTAAAAAAAAAGTAAAATACACTTTTTATACTTATGCAAAACACACATGTATTGCAGGTGTCAATGGGATATGTCTAAGTGCTGGTGGGGAAGCTTATTTCAGGTCTTAAAGCATATTGAGGTTAATCTAAACAAGTGCATTTAGAGCTAAAGATGGGATAGTTCTGTTTTTTAGGCATTTTTATTGTAAATATAAAAAGCATATAAAACAATGCCTACACTTAACTAAATGATCACAAACACTTTGATTACCACAGAGAACACCTGACAGTATTATTGTTACAAGGCTAACCTAATGCTATGTTAACAGATGTGTGACTTCTGCGCACATCACAGGACCCTGGTCGTGTAGACTTTACCCACAGTTAACGGGGCAGATGACAGTCATTGAAAGGGTTAGTGTCGTCTGGCTTACTAACAAAAAGAATGGCAGCGTCGGCTACAGCAGTGGGCTTAAGCACACAGAGATAGAGGGCATGATGTAGGACTGGCCTCGGGATTTGTACCACCCGGGACTCCATATACTGCTTTCTAAATACTTTTCACAAGTTCTGCTTCTCTGGAAAACCCCGACTAATACAGTATAGCAGTGACAGGATTTAGTGTTGAGTCTGAAAGTTGCAGAAAAGTGAATAGTACCAACTCTCTTGTCAGAAACTAAAAAAGCACACTGTCAACCCCTGCGTCTTTGGAACGCCACAGGAAAGAGAAGAGTTATCCCTCCCCCAGAGACAGTGGGGTTTCTAATACTAAATCTTTAAGGACACAGTGTCCTCACTGGTGACTCAAAGGTGCCTTGGGAAAAAGCCTCGTGATATACCTCTAAAACTCAGTTTCTGAAACTCGGTGGGGTCAGCAGCTGGTTTGAGTTTTACACATGTGACTATGACATGTTGGAGAGGAGTAGGTGGGGAGGTGACACCATAGCATCCTGTCCCGTATATTACTGTAGTGGCACAGAGTGTAACAAGCTCAGTCAGCTTGGGAAGAGTTTCTGAGAAGCCTGTGTTTGGATTTCCCAGGGCATACCGTCTGTGTATAGGGTGTACAGGTACAATGTGGGGTTCAGGGTATAACTCAGCCACAGTACTCTAGCTTCAGAAAAAGGCCCTCTCCAGTGCGTGCCAGGGCAGGGTTTAGCAGATCACTCTCATTTTTCTTCTTTCCCTGCTTAGGATACTCGAGACATGTGGTTAGAACAGTGAATCTTCGAGGCCTCAGCCTTTTGTACTGTTGCCTTCACTCTGAAGGGTGTACCACATTTGAAATCAGAGTACTGGCTCGTAATGAGGAATTGATTGCGTACTGATGGAGCTGTCCAGGTTGATAACTTAATTCATTGTGGCTTAAAGTTTGTTTGCCATGAAGTTAAAAAGGACTTGATGCTACTCAGAAACCATCAGATCCTGCCTAGGATATTCTGATTTTTATAAACTAGACATGCACAGCTAGGAATACATCTAGAAGTAGTGACAGAAAATGACAGTAAACCATAAACTGCACATCTAAACTGAAGGCACTGGGAAGGTTTATCTAGAAGAAGTAATGAAAAGGACAATTTTCAAAATTGTATTCATTTAAGTAGTACAGTACCATAAAATACTTAAGAATAACCCAAACGAGAATCTGGTATCACCTGCCTTAGTAACCATGTGGATCTCGGTGGCCCGGTCCACAGCTGAGCATGGGGTTGACATACCTGGCCACCCTTGTGGATTTTTGAGCACAGGGTCCCAGTGGCTTGGAGAGGATTCACAGCAGCTCACAACAGCAGCAGCCTATGACAGAAATGCACATTTTTATCTAGAGTGGAAAAGGCAAGAACGCTTTGTGAGGAGGTTGACATTAAGAGAACGGTGTGTTCCTAGATGGGAGAATGGAACATTGTAGATTTGTTGTCCCCGTGTTGATTTAAACCTGACAGCATAATTGTGCTCAGTATTCTAATGAAAGCATTCTTCTGCACTTGTGTACTTGATCTTAAGTTCACGAGGAAAAATAGCATGAGTGAAAATGAACTCTCACTGACTCTGAGTTGCACAAGATGAGTTCATCTGGCTTTCTCCCACAGAGCACCTCATGGATTCAGACTGCCTGAATTGGGGTGGCAGCAAAACTCCTTCCTGACTAGGTCACCGAAGAACCCCCTGAAGAATAACAGGAGAGAACTACTTTAGCAGCAGTCAGGTGTAAAGTCTAGTAATTGTTGTTGTGTACCATCGAGTCAGAACTGACCCATAGCTGACCCTCCGGCAGGTTTTCAGTGGCTATTACTGCATGGGAGGAGAGTGCCCCTTCATCTCCCATGGAGCAGCTGGTGGATTGGAACTGCGTGCTTTCAGAATTGCAGCGCAGCTTCTTGTCACTACGCCACCAGAGCTTTCCTGTAGTATTAGCGTGACTGAAATAGGTACATAACCCACTCACCTGTAATTTTGCTCTGTGGTGAAAGGGTGTGTGTTGCTGTGATGCTAAGATGTTTCAAACACCAGAGAGTGTCATCTGTGTTGGATGTTTACAGTGACGCTTCCAGATAAAACAGACTGAAAAACAGGTCCGATGAGGCACTTCTGACGCAGTGGGCCCTTGGAAACGCCGTGAATAGCACAGAGCACGGCCTGATGTAGTGACAGAGAGGAGACCATCAAGTCGGAAGGCACTCAGGGTACTTCTGGAGAAGTAGCATCCACCTTATAGATATGGATGCAGTAAAGCTTTTGTTCAATAAAGGTTCTTCACTTGCAGACGCGACATGACGCAAAATGTAGAGAAACATCCAAAAATAATTGCAGTGTGGAATGTTCAAAAGATTAGGAAAATTTGAGGTTTTTAGAAATTTAATAGAATGCACTAAAGGTTTCTGTATCCTAGGTATTGATGGGGGAAAACGGGCTGGCATGGGTCATTTTGAATTGTGCAGTCCACTGGTCTGCCGTGCTGGCATTGAAGAAATTGGAGAGGAGTGACGTCTCGTTCAGTGTCATGATGAGCATTCCAGGATCTGCTCTGAAGTGCACCCAGTGCTTTTCAACGATAGGACCCTGCTCCTGTGTGAACAGGATCTACCTCAGTATCCTCTTCCATATCCTCCTCCGTGTGGGCCCTTTGTCAGCGTTGTCTTCCAACCTCATGCACTTCCTCTCTGTCTCAGTGCTGTCTTCTTCTTCAGCTCTGTTCTCCCCCACTCAAGCCTGCCTTCTGCTTTTTCCAGCTCTCCTGCTCCTCCACTTCTCCTTCACATCCGTGGTAGTCAGCTTGGCTGCTGTGTCCATGGTTTTGTCCAGCATGGGCCTGGGGCCTCATCAGGCAGGTTTTTCTTTAGGGCTATTGAAGATGTTTTGAAACAGGCATTCCAGAAAGCAAGGCAACAGCATTGCGTGTGGATAATTTTTTTCGTTATTACCAGTGACCAGGTTTGCGTTCATTCAGCATAGTGTTTGTCAGCTAAAGCCATTCTTTGAGCTTTGACTGAATTCCTTGATCAGCATATTAAAGCCTGTACCTTTCCCTAGTTTCCCCAGAACTCCCCGTTTTGTTCATTTTCTCAATGTTGCATAAGCTCAGAAACCCAAGCTTACTGCCTTGGAGTTGGTTCTGAGCCTCCCCCGGGTTTCTCAGGGTGTGCGTCTAACAGAGGGGACTGCTCAACCTGCTCCCACAAAGCTGTATGTGCATTTGGACCGCTTTTGGGTCAGCAGTGAAGCTTGCTATAGACTATGCCACCCGAACTCCCTGTTGTGTAATACTAATAATTATTAAAGTAATATTTACGTATTATGTTGTTTGCTGTCTTTCTCCCTCTACTAGAATGCAGCTTTATCCTGAAGGCAAAGATGCTTTTCTCTTCGATTCAGTGATCTATCTCGGGGTAAAGGGTGGATATCAACATTTGGTTCGGTAAATTACTAAATGTCCTTCATGGTTCTGATCTTTGCTTCCTCAGCTGAGCCTTCCCTGCTGCCATATAAACCTTCTGGAAGTACACAGATGTACTACGTCCCAGAGTTAAGAAAAACCCCACCTCCTGAATCCAAATCAGACACCACGCTTGAGAGCTCACACTCAGGTATTCTGCAGAAATCGCTGAAGATTTATTTTTTAAAATTGTATTCATGCATTTTGGCTGATTGACTCTGGAATGACATTAAGGTTGGTTTAATCTATTAAGGAAATGTTGACCTTTTTTTAAAATTATTTTAAAGAATTTAAAAATTTTTCTTTTTTAACTGTGTTTCTGTATATATGCAAAACACAACATTTGCAAATTCAGCATTTCTCACAGTGGCTGTTTTAGTGACATTAGCCGCGTTGTGCATACATTTCCCCCTCAGGCAGTGTCCTATTTCCGTCACCAAAATGTGTATCTTTTCATAGCTGAGTCTCTGGCTTAGAAAAGTTACTTAGTTGCTATAATAGATCCTGGACTTTTAAAATGTAATAAATACTTGATGTATGAAGTTTTATGCACAGTTATTAGTGTTAGTGGACTCCATCCAGAACAGAAGCTTTAGATTTTCCTCAGTTCATCATATGCCTTTAGTATTTTAGGGATTTGTTTTGTCTTGACAACCGTAGGCTAAATAAAGAAATAAAAAGGAATACAGAGAATTTTGTTTTTATTATTAAACTGTTAGATCAAAATAATGTGTGGTACTCACTTTGTCAGCATATATACTAAAACTGGAAGGATATAGAGAAGATTAGCATGGCCCCTGCACAAGGATGACATGCAAATTTGTGAAGCGTTCCTTTTTTTTTTAATGTGTGTACCGTCAAATTGGATGTGACTGGTACAGGAGGCGATTGTTTCTCCTTCAGCAGAGCATCTGGTGGATTTGAACGGTGCACCTCTGGGATTGCAGTGCAGTTTCCTGCCACTAGGCCACCAGAGCTTGCCACGTTCCATATTTTTTACTCTTTTAGGTATACAGTTAAAACATTAAAAGACTTTTTGGGACATTTGGGGGGAAAAAAAGCAGTATGTGTAACATTTTGGAATTTTCCTCCAACAGGTACTATTTTAGGAGACTATTACTTATTGCTTTGTTAACAATCAAAACTAACAAATAGTTCTTTTTCTCTTTGCTTTTAAAAAGTATTTCATTTTGATCTTAAGTAACTACATTTACTTAACTAATGAGCGTACCCAGATGTTGAGGACCCTGTGACTTCTTGTACTTTGAAGTAGAATTGGTGACTTTTATTGGGTTTTTTTCACCGTAGCAACAGCTGCAGAGAACCCAACTTTGCAAGACTAGAACAACATAGAAAGTCGAGTAATACTTTCTGAGGATGAAACTTTTCATTCCCTTGACCTTGTAGCTTGTGCAGTGTGTACCAGATCTCAGGCATCGTTGCTGTTTGCTCGATTTTCACACCACCCCACAGCACCCCTGTGAGTTCAGGGCAGGAGAACTGCAAAACTAGGACATGATTAGCAACCCAGCGAGGAACTAGCATGTGTTTTCTGTAGGAGTTTTAAGACGTGTACTGGGATGGCGTGGTGTGACGTTTTTATTGAGGAGACAGCATTTTGAGTGTTACACAGGGAATTTCCTACTTCAGTTCAGACGTAAGTTTTCTTTTGTCATCATTTACTGGTCTCCCTCATTGCCCTTAAGTTAGACCCAACTCATAGCTGACCCTCCAGCAAGTTTTCAGAGGCTGTAAATCACACAAGAGGAAATTCCATGGAGCTGGTGGATTCAAACCACCGGAAAGCCTTTAGTTTAGTAGTGCAACACCCTAAGCACTAGGCCACTGTAGCTCCCTGATCTTCTGAACATATATTCTATGTAGGTATCCTGTAGATACCTGTGTATGTATAGAAGTCCCTGATCTTAGCCAGACTTGTTCGTTAATTGTATATGAGCGAGAACCAGAACCTCTTTCTTCTGGTAACTGAATTGTTGTTGTTGTTGTTGTGACTGTTGGTGGTTGCCATCGAGTTGTTTTCAGCTCATGTCAGCCTTGGAGTGTATAATAGAGCAAAGCATGGGTCCGTCCTGTGCCGGCCTCACAGTCGTTGCATTTGAGCCCATTGCTGGCAGCCATTGTACCAGTGACCTCGCTGGGAATCTTCCTCTTTTTCACTGACTCAGGCTCTAGCTGTGTGTGTACGCGTGCACGTGCGCTGTGTATGTATCTCTGTACAGAACGAAGCATATGGAGGCCACAGTAAAAACATTTCCTAGGCATAATTAAATATCTTGCTCTTTTCATGTATATGCGTATAAATAGACACAAATACATATTTATCTTAATCAGGTTCGATTACATCAGTTTAATGAAAGAATTTTCAAATGTGTTTTGTGCACTCCATTATGTTGTGTTGCTAGATGCCATTGAGTCACCTAAGACTCATCGAAACTGAACAACAGCTCTGAACCATCTCTTGATATGCTCAGGCTCATTGGACCCTGTTGTTGTGGACCATCGACTTGGAACTAACTCGTAGCTGACTGACCATCCAGCTAGTTTTCAGAGGCTAAAAATCACGGGGAAGGAGACTGCCCGTCTTCCTCCCTCAGTGCAGCTGGTGGATATGAACCATGTATCTTTGAGTTGACAGTGCAGCTCCCTACTCACTCGGCCACCAGAGCTTCCTGTTTGACGCAGAGGGAGTGGGAAATAGGAGACAGGAAGCTCCCTTCCTGTGGCTCATTTTAGTCCTTACTGACCTTGTGTGGTATGAGCACCCTTTGGTTTGCAACATGACATGCTACAGACCACACTACCAGAGCTCCTTCATTGTATAAGCACCTTGGCTCCTGAGTTTGAGGAGTGGCTTTGGAATAACATGGCCTCTGTATACAAGTCCAGTGCTCTCAAGTGCCTATATGCAGATGCAGTTTTCTACAGGAAGAGGTGGGCTCTGCAGGGCTTGTGAGCAGACGTCCTTTTCAACGCAGTGCCGCCTTCAGGTGCTTCTCTTGATTTTCCTTGCTTGGTTCCAAACAAATGCCTACCACTTTACCAGGGAAAATGTACTTTTCTCTTTTTTGTTTTTATTCAAAAAACACTCCTGAGTTGGAGTCCTCTCCTTTCTTTAACCTCTTGTGTCTTTTGTACCTTGTGTATTTGCAATTTGTCACGCACATCTTCACTTTTCAGCTGTCTCTGTCTGTCCACTCTATTCAGCTCTCATCTTAGTGCCGTTTTTAATACAAGTGAGTAAAAGAGGAAATTACTTTTTAAGTCCTTGTCTAACTAGATGTCTTTGTTAATGGTGTTTTCTCTGTTCTCTGTAGGATCCAATGATGCCATCGCCCCTGTCTTCCCAGCTCAGGTGCTCGGCACAAGAGACGATGACCTCTCCGGCACAGTGAACATCAAACATAAAGAGGGGATCTACAGTAAGAGGGCAGTGACGAAACCACCCTGGTCAGTGGGGGAGAAGCCCTCTCAGAGAGACACTGCAGGTACCAGGTTGACTCTGTGCGTGTTTCCCCCATGCTAATCCAACATTAGAATCTGATTGAGAGAGTGCAGATCATTGGGGCTGGCATTCAGCTAATAAGGGGATCCAGGGTGTCCCTCACACGGTACAGGGACTGTCTAAGTATCTTGAGATTAGCTAATAAAAGCAGCCCGGATGACCCTTCATCACAGGGTGCAGGGACACAGTCTATAGAAGTCTCCTGGAATCAGCTAATACCGGTAGCCTGTTGTCTCTTCATCACATGATCCAAGGATATTTTATGTAAAACTATCCTGAGCTCTGCTAACAGGCAACCTGAATGTGTTCATCACACTGTCTATATGAGTATCCTGGCGTCAGATAATACAGGCAGCCCTGTTGTCCCTTCTTTGCAGGGTCCACAGACGCTGTGTGTATTGGTGTCTTGAGTTCAGCTAATATAGGCAACCTGAGTGTCCCTTCACCACAGGCTCCATGGACACTGTCTATATAAGTATCATGGGATCAGCTCATAGAGGCAGCCTGGGTGTCTCATTACCACATAGTCCAGGGACACAGTCTATAAGAGTATCCTGGGATCAGTTAATACTGTTGTCCCTGCTCAGTGTCCCTGCCTCACAGGGTCTCAGGACACAATCTGCGTAAGTATCCTGGGATTAGGTAATAAAGACAATAAAGACAGCCTTCTGTCCCTTCATCCCAGAATCTAGGGACACTGACTATAAATAGCATGATGTCAGTGAGTCCACATAGTCCAGGTGTCCCTTCATCACATAGTCCAGGGACTCTGTCTATATTAGTGTCCTGACATCAGCTAACACAGGCAGCCCCAGGTGTGCCTTACTTTATGTCCTTGGTTTTGCCACATTTCTCCTTTGATGGCCCTGAGAGCTCATGCAGAGAGGAGGAGAGTGGCCAGTGAATAAACTTCTAGAGAACAGCCCTGATGAAGAAGCACCAGATCCATAATGACTAAGGAACTAACCAGAGAGATGCTGTCTTGAAAGAGGCAAACCTTCCGCACTGTCCCGAGACGGTCAGACGCCTGACCAGAGACGCCATGTTAGAGCTCAGCTGTGCATACTTCCTAATTTGCATAATTTCTCCTCTTTGGGTATAACCTACCTTTCCCTCCTAAAACTACTGAATAAACATTAGCTCTTTCCCACTTTCCTAACGTAACCTACAGATAACCCTCAAACTTTCCCTTCCTTGAGACGGCTGATACCCTGTCTCATACTTGTATACAATAATTTTCTACTTTCTCCATTTAAAAAATAAGAGATTATGATCTAGTGTTTATCCTTTATCTTTGCTTACTGACGTAAACTTGTCTCATATATATATATATATATGAGAAGTTCAGAGCCCTTTGACATGCTTGGAATACATGAAAAATAGAGCAGGAATGACAGTCACTTCCTAAACAACATGCCTCTGAACAACATCCACTCTATGAACTGTGAGAAATTCTATTTATCAGAAGGCTTTAGGTCTTTTGTTCATAGGGTCATTATATCCTCAACTTGACGACAATAAACAACAACAAAAAATACGATGAAATTCTTGAAATGCCTGATTTCATAGGATTTAAAGACTAACATTCGTAGAAAATTGTGACTAAATTCTCCCTTGAATTTACCTCTGTCAGATACTGCATGCTGACATCTCGTAGACTGGGTTTTATTTTGTGGTGGCCACCAGTCTGCGTGGTGAAGGCCAAACGTGACGCTGAGCACTGGATCCTGATGCTTGGGAACCTTCTCAGGTGGCCTCTTTGATGTTCCACTCCTGGGCAGTGAGAGAGTCAGCCTTGGGGAGAGCAGAGCCCAGGTCTGACTTCTGGAAGGTAGCCAGCGTTGAGGGTTTGGCACAACAGAGGATACAGAGGATTTGCCAGAGTGACAAGAGGCAGATAGGAGACGCTGAGAAGAGCCCATAGTGCCTCTAGATTTGTCCTGTAAGGCCTCGGGGGGACGTTGAAATCTGGCTTGGTTTTTTTTATCTAATTTGTACCAATGAGACTACTACTAAGTTGTTCTTGTTGTGTCCCATCAACTTGGAACTGATCCATAGTTGACCTTCCAGAAGGTTTTCAGAGGCAGTAATCACACAAGAGGAGATTGCCCATCCTTCCACCCACAGAGCAGCTAGCTGGTGGATTCGAACCATGTGCCTTTGAGATTGCAGTACAGATTCTTACCACTAGGCCAGCAGAGCTCCCTTATTACCACATGTATACTAAGGGCTCAGGAAATACATGAAGTACAAGATCACAGATAAAAAGGACAACCATTTTCCAGATAATATAAAATAATCAGTTTGTAACACAGTATGTAACTCAGATGTTCTTTTTCCCTCTTGGACATGGTATGAAAGGAAGGTAAACTCTTGTTTTCAGTATATATGGGGAAATGGAAATATTTTAAAAGAAAAATATTTTCAAATCCTTTCTTCTTCAGTACAGTGTTTCTTTCAGCCTTTTGTCTTTTGTGTTATTGGCAGTTTAATCTGTTGAAAACATAATATCCTGTTGTTTGACAATTGTTAGTGTTCTTTACTTTTGGCTTGGAATTTCTGGGGAATTTCTCTGTAAAGTGGTATTTTTTTAAAATACCTCTCACCACCCTTAATGTACACCGTCACCTCACCTGACCGTGGAGTTGTATGCTATTTGTCTAGTTTTTATTGTCCTGCTTGTCTGTGCTTGTGATGTAACCTCTACCTACCCTAGTGCCTTTCTTTCTGCTCCCTGTATCAGGAAGTCTCCTTCTTTTAAAGGATAGTCTACTTCTCTAAAAGCGTTTATGAGCTGGGAGTGCTCTCCATCCTTTTCCTCTTTATAGTCTTGCCCTTGTGCGTTTTTGATCTGTGTTGTATAGGTTTAGTTTTATCAAAGTGGGGTAAGAAGAAAATGTAGGTCCTTTGTTGAATAAGAGCCTGTATATGTGTTGAGCTCTGGAGTTGTCGTGAGAGCGGCACTGCTGACCAAAGCCACACCTCGCCGGTGGCTCGAGTCCACCAGCTGCTCCTCAGGAGGAAGATGGACAGTCTCTTCCCGTGTGATGTACAAGCTCTGAAAACCCACTGAAGAGTCAGCCGTGAGTTGGCTTTGACCCAGCGGTAGTGAGTTACGTTGATATATGTGTTAATTATAATTGTCTCTTTTCTCTATAGGAACCAGCAATGCCATTGTTGTAAGGAAGAAAGATGAAGACCTCACAGACACAGGCATCAAACACAAAGAGGGGCTTTCCAGCAAGAGGGCTGTGATGAGAGCGACCTGGCCAGTGGAGGAGCCGCCCAGTCACAAAGACACTGCAGGTAACTGGGCTCACTGGGGCGGGGGGTGGTGGTGGTGGGGTGGTGAAGTGTGTATGTGCACTTTGTTTCATTTTTCCCTATGTTTATCCAGAGTTAGAATACAATCTAATCTGTATCCTCTCTGCTATACTTTTCATATATATGAATATAAAAGTCTGTTGACATGCTTGACATATTTGAACGGTTTAAATTTATTTTCCCCATGACAAATACGATGAGATTATTAACACAGTACTTGGTGGCATATGGTATATGGTATGTTATTGTTTTTGTTGTTGTGTACCATAGAATCGGAACTGACCCATAGCTGACCCTCCAGCGGGTTTTCAAAGGCAGTTAATACCACGGGAGGAACTCGCCCATTCTTCTCCATGGAGCATCTGGTGGCCTCGAACCATGAGCCTTCAGGATTGCAGCACAGCTTCCTGACACTAGGCCACCAGAGCTCCAGAGACAATCTTGATTAAATTGCCCTGTGAATTTTCCTCCGTCACGTTGCAGCCTGACATCTCATAGATTGGAGTTTGCAGGAAGATGTGCAGCTCACTTGGAGTATTAAATGTTTTTCCTATTTTTAACATTTAAAAAGTCAAAATCTGCTCCCCTTGAACAGTAGCTTTCTGACTGCAGACAGCTCGCGTTCTTCAGTGGCAGGAATCTCCACTATGAAATGGTGCAGCTGCTTTCTTAAAAAAGCATGCCCTGGGGTCGTGTTATAAAGGCCCCCCTTCCTGTCACAGCATTCGCAATGCAGGGCCTCAGTGGGGGAGTATTTTCTGTTCTACACAGAGAGAGAGTGTGTGTGTATATGTGTGTTTCTGTCTGTCTGTCATCTACTCTTCCTCCCATAACTATGATTAAATGATGTCCCAGTTCAAGTGACCCTCATCGGGGACGAGAGCTTGTCAGATACGAAAGTGAAGGAAGATCCATGTGAGAAGGAGCTGTTGGCTGTACCCACGTCGGTGGAGGAGGTGGACAGCGCAGGTAGCGGATGCAGCATGCGCTCCTTTCCTCCTGCCCTCTCAGATGAGAGCATTCCTTGAGAAGATCCACAGATAAACACTCTGTTCTCTTCAGCCCGTCTCTGTCTTGCTCATTTGTGATAGAGTTAAGATATTTCTAGTTGCATCTTTTTGGTATTCATGGAAAGAGGTGGGGGAAAATTAACTTTTTTTAAAACCTCTCAAGTTCTTTTAGAGATCTGTGTGTATATAATACACAAATTAATTGGATTACCAAAAATTCACATGCAGACTTTTACCTCTGCTATGAGATTTTGAGTCTCTGGTGTCATTTGTTGTGCATAAACTTTTTCTTTTTTAAATGCATGTATGTACATAAGCTTTTGTTCTTCAGGTAAATTCAGCTTCTTCCCAATTCTGCATCCATTTATTTTCATTCATTGAGAATATGTTGGTTAAAAGTAGGTGACATAATTTTTTTGAAAAGAACAAGCAACTGAGTAGTAGAGACACCCACATTCCCTGGTGGTTGATGGGCTGGGAAGGAGGGAGAGCGTGGAGGGAGGTTTCTGTGGTGGGGTATTGCGGGTCACTCTGTGGTGTGGTGGAAGACTTGGCAAAAGTTGCATGACAGATAAATTTACAACAACAGAGAGAGAGGGAGGAACTGCTGAAGCAGTTTCTGTACAACCAAACACCACATGGGCTATTGTTCCTTGGTTTGGAGTTTAGGGTCCTGGTTCTGTGGAACAGCTCAGTTAATTGACCGTATAATGGGCTTTGTCCTCTGTCCTACCTCCTGGCACTTTGTGTAGTGCCTTAGGTCTGAAAAGTGACCAGCCGGCCTCTAAGGCACCATGATTGGTCTCTCTTCACCTGGAGCAGCAGAGAAGGAAGAAGATGCAGGCTGAGGATGAGGATAATGGAGAGTGTGGCTAATTCCCTTCATGAGCAGCTAACCTCCTTTACCATTAGACCAGAACTGGGTGATGCCCAGCTACTATGAAATCCGTTTTCATCAAAGACTTTGTGAATCCCTGGAGGGTAAACCCTAGAACTATTGTCTGAAATAATTTTAAAACTTAAAGAATAAACCCTGAAATATTCTTAAAACCAAAGACTAGTTTAGCTTAACTGCTGGTGTAAACGGTCTGTCTTGAGCATTGTGCTCTTAGCTCTATTTGTAAACACAAAGCAACAGTGGTGGCCCTGAGATGAAAGCATTTGACTGCTAACCAAAAGGTTGTAGGTTTGAATCCATCATCTGCTCTATGTGAGAACGATAAGGCAGTCTGCTTTAATTTAAACTGTATGCCTGAACCCAGTAGGGCAGTTCTGCTCTGTCCCACAAGGTGTCTACAGCCAGCAGGAAAGACAGGGAATGGAGAAAGCATTGTCCTGCTTTAAGAATAATTTACAGATAGGGGAGCTCTGGGGGCCTAGTGGCAAGAAGCTGCACTGCAATCTCAGAGATATGTGGTTCAAAACCACCAGATGCTCTGCCGGAGAAGGAAGGGCCATCTCCTCCTGTACCAGTCAGATCCAATTTGACGGTACACACACACACACACACACACACACAGAAAATAATAATAATAAAAAAAAATATTAATTCACAGAAATTATATGTCCGATCCCCTTACATCATGTTGGCCAGTCCTTAGACATGGTCTCACACCAGCTAGTTTACCAGGGACACTGGGACATAAAGCCTTTATCCTGGTGACTATATGCCCAGCTAAGAGACCTCTGCTGAGTCAGTTCCGACTCAATGGCATTGAATAGCATATGCCCAGCTGAAGTCAGGATTCCACTGTAAAGGAAAATGGGTAGTAGGGGCTGTCTCTTCCTCCCATGGAAATGAGAAACATCTTGGAGCATAACCCTTCACCTCCCTTTCTCTGCTGATTGATTCTTATTACTGTATTATGCTCTAGGTAACATTTCAAAACTGTATTTCCCTTTTTTTCTGTTATGAAATGAAGGTTCCAGAAATATGTTCCAGATACATATTCCAGATATATACATATATATATATATAGATAGATAGATAAATACATATGTTACCATGTTAGTCTCCTACTCCTAACCTTCCATTAGTTTTCATTGCCCTTGGAATAAAATCCAAACTCATCATCCTGTAGAACAGCACTGCGTGCTCTCAACTGACCTTTGGACCACTATTTCCCAGATAACCTCTTGAGTACTTTTCCTAATACCAAGCCATATTGTTGCTCTATTTGTTCTCAGTTGTTGTCTTGACTCTTTTGTTATATACTCACCTTTGCTTGAAATTCTTTTCCTTTTCCATTTCTATGTATTTATCTTCATTGTAGCTTTAATGCCTGGATCAGTCCCTGCTTAGTTTAGAGTCTTTCCTGATGCTTCTGTCTGAGGGGCGTTTTCCCCTCGTGTGAGAGCATCAGAGCATCAGCATCTCTCTCGGGTAGGATTCTGCAGTTTCAATTAAATCTGATACTGTACATGATTTTGGCCATAATTTAGATCAGCAGTTTTCCAAACACATTTCTGATTGATCTGTTTTTCCTTCAACATCAGTTAGCAATGCCTTTTGCATAACACATGTTCTAAAGATGTTTGGAAATTTTATGTTTTTTTTTTTTGCCAACATCCTGTATTTACACTGACTAATATATCTCTGTAGGTTGCATCACTGAAAATCTTCCAGATGTGAAAGCCTTTAAACAGAGAGAGGATATCTTTAATAGGAGGACAACTCCTCGGACAGCGTGGACAGAAGAGAAAAAATCTTTGTCCGAAGATGCTGCAGGTAACGGGGTTGTGAGCGTTGTGTGTGTCTGGTCCCCTCTTTCTGACGAGATCATGGTCTCTTGGTTTAAGCAAAGATCTCCCTTCCTCTTGTTGTTGTACTGTCAAGTTGAACTGACCCATAGCTGACCTTCTGGCAGGTTTTCAGAAGCAGTTAATCACACGGGAGGAGGTTGCCCATCCTTCTCCCTCAGAGCAACTGGTGGACTTGAACCAGTGTGCCTTCAGGCCTGCAACACAGCTTCTTGCCACTAAGCCACCAGTGCTCCATACTTTTTTTCTTTTTTTAAATGCGTTCTTCTACAGATTAATTCAATGCTACTTTGTCTATTTGATTTTACATATTGGACACAGGAGTGGCATCCACTTCCATAGTAGTCTGCCTCTGGAAACCCTGTGAACCTGGAGAAAGGATGAAAGTCACACAAGCGCTGAGGACTTTCGTTCATAGGGTCCCTGTGAGTCGCCTATGACTCGGTGGCACTTAACAACAACAACAACATTGGTATAAAGGATACTTTTTGTTCCTGGAAAAATACACTGGCCTCATTGTGGAAACAGGTTACAGATAAATAGTATCAGAAGTGAAACTTCATGTCTCATCCTGGTGCGGGAGAAAACATGACCCCTGAAAGCATCTAGAAGAATGACCAACACTATGGGGACCTCAGCACAAGATTCTGTCAGTTACTTCAGATCTGTCTTGTGTTTGACGCCCCAACTTTCTGATAGAAGGAAGGTGTGTGTGGAACACAAGCCATCGATATCCACCTGTCAAGCTTTACTTCCAAAAAGAAGCTAAAACAGTACCCCGACAAGGAGTCAAGGAGCCAATCCGTCCAGCTTCTTTATATTTTAAAGTAGTGCGTCTTGATCCACTCACATCAGGAGTGTGTCTAACAAAGACCAGAGTCTGGAAACTGTTCTGTGGATAGGGAGACAGTGGGGAATCCACACAACTCACAAAAGGAAATATGTCATCCTGTATCCCAGGGGACAGAAAACCACTGGGCCCACATGTTTTATAGGAACAGAAAATGAATAATACTAGAAAATGTGAATTTAGAGTTGGGGTAAGAATAAGGTAAAAAGGGAGACTTAAGGAATAGGAGAACAGTGTGTGTTCGTAGCCGTAAAAAAAGGTAACAGGAAAGTAATGAAAAGATGTAGAGAAAAATGGAACTTCCTGTTTAAAAAGACATCAAAAAATCCCAAGGAAAATTTATCTTATTTAGTTATCAATACTGAGACATGTATCCCTCAAAGTACAGAATTTTAAATAAAAAGAATTCTAAGGTATCAGTGCAGAAGAAAAATCAGAAAAAAGGCAGAGTAAGAGGAAGTTAACTCACGTCTTACTGTCAAGTCAGAACCGACTCATAGCTGACCCTTCACTGGGTGTTGAGGGGCTCTAAAGTGCACAGGAGGAGATTGTCAATCCTCCTTCTGAGCAGCAGCTAGTGGATTTGAACCACCTGCCTTTGAGTTGGCAGGGCAACTCCTTACCTTGAAGGCCACCACGGAAGTAAGTATAAGTGACCTAATTTTACCTTTCAAGTTGATAAAAAATAGATATGTACGTATAGTATTTAAATTTTTTTAAGTTTCCTCTGAGTTAAAATGTCAAAAAGCCAAAGTAGTTAGAAAAGGAGTGATGGTAGACCCAGGTGCAGGGAGCACAGGTGGCTTCCTGTGCAATTTACAGCCTCAGAAAACCTGCTGAGGGGTTGGCTGGGAGTCAGTTCCAACTTGATTGCACATAGTAACAATAGAGGACACATACAGGTGGAGGGGAAAGACAATGGGAAGTAACGGGGTGGGGGGTAACACAGTGAGACATGGGTAAACATGTACAGAATAAATTCACTTTTTTTTTATTAAAACCCCAAACCCAGCACTTTTGAGTTCATGCACAGTGAAGCTATGACTTAGGACTCTTTAGGCACCACATACATTGGCTGCTGCTTGTTAGGTGTTTCCAAATTGAGTACAACCCATAGCAGCCCTGTGAACAGCAGGTCTGAACACTTTTCTATCCTGTGCCATCTTCTCTCAAGCCCATTGCAGCAGTCACTGTTGTCAGTCCACCTGGTTGAAGGTCTTCCTTTCTTCATCATCTTTCCATTTTCCCAAGCATGATGCTCTTCTCCAAGGAAATAGCTTCTTCTGTGCCCAGAGTATACGAAACAATACTTTATCATCCTTGCTTCCCATGAGCTCTCAGGCTGCAGCTTTTCCAAGACATAAGTGTTTGTTCTTTTGGCAGTGCGTGGGATATTCAGTACCCATCTTCAGCACCACAGCTCAAAGGCTTCAGTTCTTCGTCTGTCATCATTAGTTATTGTCTAGCTCAAAGATAATTGAATTTTGCAATTCAAGCCTTGAGTTGCAATATTGAAGAATGGAGCGGGCAAAATATTGAATGATCTCGGAAGCATCAAAAGAAGATGGAAGGAATACACAGAGTCACTGTACCAAAAAGAATTGGCTGACACTGTAAAATTTCAGGAAGGTACCTATGAACTTTGATAAATGACGATAGTTATAGAAAAGCTTCAGGCCTTTTGTTCATAGGGTCACTGTGAGTCGTGCTTGACTCGATGGCAGTCAACAACACAACAGACATGAATAAGAGCCATTAGTAAAGAAGGAAGTTGTTGAAGCTACACAGATGGCATTGACAAAAGGTAAGGCCCCAGGACTTGATGGCATACCAGTTGACATGTTTAACTAACAAATGCAGCCCTGGACGTTCTTACAGTGTATTCCAGGAAATTTGGAGGATTGCTGCCCACCCACCTGACTGGAAGAGACTCATAATTACTGCCGTTCCCAAGATGAGTGATCCAAGAGAATGTGGAAATTTATTGAACAATATCATTAATATCACATGCAAGCAAAATAACCACTGAAGATCATTCAAAAATGGCTACAACAGTTCATAAACAAGAGAACTTCCAGAAGTTTTAGAGGCTGTGTTACCAGGGATATCATTGCTAATGTCAGATGGTCCTGACTGAAAGTAAAGAATATCAGATGAGGGAGCTCTGGTGGCTTAGTGACAAAAAGCTGCACTGCAATCCAAGAGGTATGTGGTTCAAATCCCCCAGATGCTCTGCTGTAGAAGGAGGGGCAATCTCCTCCTGTACCAGTCAGATCTGATTTGACGGTACACACACACAAAATAATAAAGTAAAATAAAACTTTAAAAAAAAATCAGACGAATGTCTATTTATGCTGTATTGACTGTGCAAAGGCAAATGACTGTGTGGATCATGACAAGTTATGGCCAACATTGAGAAGACTGGGAATCCTTAATTGTGCTCATGTGCTATCTAGTCTAAGAGGCTGTTGTGTGAGCAGAGCAAAGAAACACTATTGTTGTGTACTGTCGAGTGGAAACTGACCCAGATGGTTTAAAAATAAGAAAGACACGTGTCAGGGTTATATCCTTTTTCCAAACCTATTCAATCTGTTGAGTAAACTATTCCAGAAGCTGGACTCTGAAGAAGAATGTGGCATCGAGATTGGAAGAAAACTCATCAATAACCTGTGTTATTCAGATGACACAGCCTTTCTTACTGAAAGTGAGGAGGACCTGAAACAACTTGTTGCGGAAGATCAAAGTATACAGCCTACAATATGAATTTCATCACAGCCTCAAGAAAACACAATTCCTCACCACTGGACCTATTGGCAACATCATGATGTTTCATCATCAAGATGGGGAAAAGATTGAAACAGTCAACAGCTTCATCGTATTTGAATTCACAGTCAATGCCCTTAATAACGGTAGTCAGAAGATCAGGAGACGTATTGCACTGAGAAAGTCTGAAATCAGGGATCTCTCCAGATTGTTGAAGAGCATTGTTATCAGTTTGAGGACTAAGGTGCTCCTGATTCAGGCCATAATCTTATCATTCACTTGCTTTTGATCTATGTTGGCTTAAGAAAGCGTAAAACAAACCTGGGGAACATCATCTTAGTAAAGTCTTTGTTGCCTTTAAAAGAGAATAAAATTACAGACTGGTAGGAAAACAATTCTTCAGTTCTGTTGTATATCTAAGAAGTATAGTGCTTAGGAGGAAATGAGAAACTAGGAATTTGCTTTAGGGGTGTGGGGAGAGGAAGCAGTGTGATCACAACCTAAGAAAACCTCAGAAGATTTTTGTGGAGGAAAATTAATAATAGTAATGAGAGCCTGAAAGTCATTAACTCCTGATGGACCTCTCTTTTTTATAAGATTAATCACCATTTGACTTTGCCCATCATTAATTACCCTGCCTTTCCATTATTACTTCCCTGTATCATCACCCTCCTCACACCCTCCATAGTCACTAATGCACCTTCTGTCTATGTAGAATTCCCTAATGTGAACCATGTCTGAATTTTTGTGACTGGCCTCCATCACTTAGTTATCATTTCCATGGCTCCTCCATGTGGATCGGGACTTCATTGCCTTTTATGGCTGAACAATGTTCTAAAAAAATGCTGTGTTTATCTTTTCATCAATTTATAATTAGATGGTTGTTTAGTTTGGGCTTTTATGATTAGTTCTGTTATAAACATTGGACAAATCTGCTATCAGCTCTCTTGACAAAAGTGCTAAAGAGCAAGGATGTCATTTGAAAGACTTTGGTGTGCCTGATACAAGCCTTGGTGTTCTTTGTGTGTCTGGAAGTTGGACAGTGGATAAGGAAGAGAGAGAAATAATCAATGCCTTTGAATTGTGGAGTGGTAAGTACCATGGGCTACTGAAAGAACAAAACAAGTCTGTCTTGGAGGAAGTACAACCAGGATCTCCTTACAGGCACAACTGGTAAAATTTCTCACGTATGTTGGGAATGCTGTCTGGAGGGGCCAGTCTCAGAAGGAAAAAAAGTGCATGATGCTGAGAAAGGTAAAGAATCAGACAAAGAGAGGAAGACCTTCAACAAGTTGTGTTAACACAGTGACTGTAATAGGGGACTTGAGCATATCAGGAATCTTGAGTATCGCACAAGACAAGACGGTTTCATAACTCCACTGTGACTCAATTTTTAATTGCCAGCACCAAGCATCAGTAGCATTGTAAACATTTATTAGCAAGTTCCTGCGTGAGCTTATGCTTTCATTTCTTTGGGGTATCTGTCTAGAAGTAGGATCGGTAGTTCATGCAGTTTAGGCATTTGAGGAATTGCAGACAGTTTTTACAGCATTTGTGCCATTCCTTATCCATTTCCACTGGTAGTGTATGAGCAATGCTATTTCACCACCTCCTCACCAAATCGGTGGGAGTCCTGGGGGCTCGTGGGTGAGGAGTGCCAACCGCAGGGCCAGTGATTCAGGGCCACCAGCTGCTCTGCAGGTGAAAACGAGTCCTCTCCTCCTGTGCAGTTCACCGTTCACAGCCTCCAGAAGCCCGCTGGAGGGTCAGCTGGGAGTCCGTTCTGAGCCGACAGTGATGAGCGTGTTCTGACTTTTGGCTACTCGGGATTCTAATGGGTCTGAAATGAGTGGCGTCTCAATGTGGGTTTTTTAATTTTTAATAATATGTTTTTAGTGAACGTTTACACAAGTAGGTTCCCATTCAACAGTTTCTGCACGCATCACTCCAGACATTGCTTCCACCTTCATAGTGCAGGAACAGTCAGCTTTCCTTCTCAGTTGCTCCGTTGCTGGTGCTTGTTTCCCTGCCTTCTCACTTGCTAGGCTTTGTGTTAATATGTGACCGGGCTCAGAACCTTGATCTCAGACAGATGGTTCTTTAAAGGAGCACAGTACTCAGAAGTGAAAATCTTTATCTTTATGAGCCAGTGTGTTATCAATTCAGTGTGGCTTTGATTTTCATTTCTTGAATGACTGGAAGTTGTTAACAGTTTCAGCTTACCCAGTGCCACAATCAACACTCTTGACACCAGCAGTCAAGAAATCAAAAGATGGATTGCTCTGGGAAAGGCTGCTGTCAGGGAGCTCTAAAAAGTGAAGAGTAATAGTGTCATTCTGGAAACTAAAATGCACCTGATTCAGGCCATGGTCTTCACAACTTGCTATGCATCAGAGAGCTGGACAGTGCCCAGTGATGACAGAAGAAGAATTGATGACTTTGAGTCGTGATGCTGAGGAAGAACATTGAACATACCATGAACCGCCAGGAGAACAAACAGGTTTATCCTGGAAAGGATGAAACCAGGTTGTTCTTGGAGGCAAGGATTTTGAAGCTCCATCTCACATTCTTTGGGCATGTGGCCAGGGGTGACCAGTCCCTGGAGAAGAACATCATGCTTGGAAGGGTGGAGGTACAGCATAGGAGAGGAAGACCCGGATGAGATGGATTGACACAGTAACTGGGATGATGTGTCGGAGATAGACTAGCTCAGGATAGAGCAGAGTTCAGAACATCTATACCTGCGAGTCTCAGGGGATTTGATGGTACATAACAACAGTGACTAAGTTAAGCTTATTTTCATGTGTATATCATTTGTATACTGCCCTTGAAGTAATGACTGTTCCTATCCTTTATTTTTCAGTTATTTATCTTTTTATTAAATTGTCTTAACAGTTTTCAAAACTCATTTGACTGTGACAGATGAGTTGCTTTTTGTCCTCTCAGTTCTGTTCCATTGAGCCCTGTTAGCTATTCTATTACCAGTTCCATGCCTTTCTAAACTGGTTTAGTATATGTTGTGTCTCATCCATACATTGTGTTTTATGAGACTTGTGGCTTCAAGTCCCTATTGCATGTTTCCTATTCCTTCACTCCTATCTGCCCGCCAACCTCTGCTTTCGTAGTGCTTGTACCTCCCTCTTTCCCGCCCCTCTGTCTCCTGTACCATGCTGTTATAGTCCCTTTTGAAATTCTCAGGTGCTGTTTTCAACCAACTCTTAACCACTGTGCCACCAGGCTTCTTATTAGAATGTCAACTGTGCATTTTTATTTTACTTTTTTTTTTTTTAAGATTTCCCTTAACATCTGGTAGGGGAAGGGGCACTTGCAGAAGAACAACAGGGGAAATCACATTTTTCCTGACACCAGACAGCTGCTAGTCTTGCTGAACGCAGCAGACCACCATTCAGAATGACCCTGCCGCACTGTTCTCGATTCTGTGCTCTGTCAGTCTCTGTAGTCACGGGTTCATGTTGTTTTTTTCCCGTGTAAAGTACTTTTTCGGAAAACCAGAACTGTCCACTGCATCTGCTGTCTTGTGTTTGGGTTGAGCAGAGTTATGAGCTCCCAACTTCTTAGTCCACCGTCCTACCCAGAAGTCTCACGTCCGAGTGTTTTGTTCTTGTCTATTGCTGACGGGCTGTTTAGTAGTGAGGGAGCTCTGGTGGGTAGTGGTAAGGAGCTGTGGTACCGTACCAGAGGCGTGTACCAGCAGCTCCGTAGCAGAAAGGTGAGTCATCTCCTCCCACGGGACTTACCTGTTCTTCCCTTCAGCCTGTTTTCTATATCTAAAAAGCAGAATCTGAATAGTATATCTAAAGAGACTTTAAGTATATGTTTGAACAGTTTTTTTTTCCCCCTTTCCAGAATCCAGTTGTCACGCAGGATTGGAAAATACTACCCATTCTGTCTTCCAGTCAGCCCAGTTTTACATTCATCATCCAGTCCACCTCCCAAGTGATGCAGACATTTGCCATGAATCCTTGGAAAAGGGTGTTTTCATGAGGAAAAATTCCTTCCAGCATCACCCAGACAAACATAAAGAACTCTCTTGTCTCCCTCCTCCTTGTCAAAATGCAGATAAGACAAAAGTGGATTATACGCAAATCGAGAGCCTCCGTATCAGTGTGAATTTGGGAAACAAAGAAAAGGGTAGTGATCATTTAGAATCCAACCAAGAGGGCACTGATCTCAAAAGAGATCAGAGGTCTACCCCAGAGGCAGCCACTCACGGCCCCACGACTCTGAACACACTGTGGAACAAGTATCAGGAGCGACAGAGGCAGCAGAAGCCACCTGAGGACAGTGACAAGAAGGACCTGTCCCTGGTGGAGCGACTTGACCGATTGGCCAGGCTCCTTCAGAATCCCATCACACATTCCCTGCAGGTCTCAGAAAGCACGCCAGAGGACAGCAGGGAGGAGCACAGGGGGAAGACATGGGGTAGGAGACAGCAGAAGCTGAAACATCAGACAAAAAAGAGGTGTAAAGACCTAGAGAAACACCCTCCAAGCACAGGAGATTCAAAAAGAAGCAGCGTGCTTGCTACCCCTTACACTGCGAAGCCCAATCAGATTAAATTTGAGCATATTAAATTTAATAAATACATTGTGAGAAAACAACCAGGTCTTCATTATGTAAGTAACACTTCTTCAGACTCTCGGCCCTCAGAGGAGAGCGAACTGCTCACTGACACCACTGCCAACATCTTCTCCAGCACCACATCCTCCGTGGACTCGGAGTGTCTGACCCAGACTGACAGGGAGGTGGCCCTGAACGAGAGGAGCAGCTCCATTTCCACCATTGATACTGCACGTCTGATTCAGGCTTTCGGCCGCGAGCGAGTGTGCGTGTCCCCCAGGCGGATCCGGCTGTACAGCGCCAGCACCAGCCCACAGAAGCAGCGGCTCCTGGAGAAGCGATGCAGGCACAACCAGAGAGCCACGAAGACGGGTCATTTCCACGTGACCACCGAGCACACCAGAAGGAGAAACATCCAGGTACATGGCTACAAATTCCGTCTGACGCTGTGACTGCCTTGTGCACGGACCTTTGTAGTTGAGCTTTGCACACAAATGAAGGAGGAAGAAAAAGCCACTTGCCCTTTCCTCACTATCATATTTCTGACCCGCTGGAAAAGAGTGAGAAAGTGTAGCACAGTGCTATTGTGAGTTGTCATTCTTTCCACCAACACCCATTTTCTGATTGCCCTTTGGATGAAGGTCTGTGCAGCTGGATGCTTCAGGACCCACACAGTCGAGGTGCGGCCTAGGGCAGTGGGCAGCTTCACATTTAGAATGACCTCCTGCACTGTGCTCGCTTCATGGTTTTTCCTTCTGGGATGGTTTGTTTTTTTTTAAGTTGGGGTTGGTTGGGTTTTGTTGGTTTTGTTTTTTTTATTAATGTACTTCCCTATCTTTCAAGAGATAATCTGAAGGACTCTTAACACATATACATTCACAAGAAATGCACATATAAATAATACAATATGATTTTTTTAAGTAGGTGAAGAATTTAGAGTCATAGACAACTAGAACAAAACCATGAGTGAGCTACATGATTTTAAAAAGAAATGAAGAATTATGAGCGATAGAAAAAAGAATTTTAAGCCAAAGTTGGGAGATAAAAATATACCTTGTAATGAGCATTAAATATGCAATGCCTAGAATACATGCATGCTAACAGTGAGCCGTCAGTTGAGCTGTGTGTTTGCTAGCTGCTGGTGTTGCTAGCATTTTGTCATATGAATCTGGTGGTTCAGACTCACCTGATGACAAAGAATGCAGTCCAGGACCCCCCGGGGGGCGGGGGCAGTTCTGTGTCACACAAGGTCCCTCCGAGTTGAAGTTGACATGATGGCTGCTATAAAACCACCCGAGACAGTAATACAGGAGCCAAAATAAAAGCATTACAGACCTTTCTGGTCCTAATCTCTCATAAGGAAGGCACTGAAGCATACACAGGGTATACACTGAAGTATACACAGAGTCGATACACAGCACCCAGCAGGTTCAGTAACAACCCCCATGAGCTGCTGGAAAGGTCAGTAAATGAGGGAGCTGCCTTAACCTAAGAATAAAACGTAGAGTGCCCATGGACGTACCCTCCAAGAAAGGATGCTTCCAAAGTGATCCATTGGCAGGTAAACGGAAGATAGTAGCGTTTCATTTTTTACATTTATGTTTTCATGGTGGTGGTGTGTTTTTTTTAAATTGAGTACGGTAAGAACATAATTTATAAATAAGTATCTGTTTTGGCAATTTGTGCTCAAAAATATTTTGTCAGTAGGAGTGCACAGCCAAGAAAATTTGGAGGCTGATCTAGAGGAAAGAGAGGAGCTGTTTAATCAGTTTACCAGAAGTGTTTCTCCCACTGGCGCTTTGGATGAGTATTAAGTGACCGTGCCCAGAATGTACTGGGAGCAGGGTTGATAATTTTTAAATTATGGCTTCCCATCAAAACAGAGTCCTGGCAGTGTTGCGGTGCATTGCATGTTGAGCTGCGAAACAAGGTCAGTGTTTCAAACCCACTCTCGGGAAAGAAATCGGGCCGTCTCCTCCCAAGATGTACAGCCTCAGAAAAGAGTGGAAGGTCGTCGAGAGTCAGAATGGACTTGGCCACGATTGAGGGTCTTCACGAGAAAGCCCAGGCACCTATCCGTGTAGAAGAGAGTTTCTTTAAAAGATAATCCTTCTAAAGCTTAGCTACTCCCAGTTTGTCTCAAAACATGCTGTAAATACCCACCTTGGCCATTCAATAAGTCTCTGAAAAGCACCCAAATAATATCTTAACATTTTTGCAGTTTAATCTGCTACATTCTGAAATGGAAATTAATTTCACTTAATGAGTGAATTTGCTCTTTGGGTTCATTCATTGTAAATCACATTTTTACTATGTCTCGTGGATTGCTTATTATCCTAAGTTTGGAAAACAGTTCATCTGTGGTCTTTGTTGGTTAAGAACTGGCCAGCAGAGATGGTTGTCTGTGAAACCGCTGACAGCTCATGAAAACAACATAATGGTATACACACATCTAAGGGTCATTCTTTAGAGTTGGGCTAGGGGTTAGGTGAGTTTGTGGAAGGGCATGTATTTAGTTTCCTCTAAAACTATCAAGTGACAGAGCATCATAATGTGGAAAAAAAAAAACAAACCTCAAACCCACACATCTTGATTTTCTTCAGTAGGAGACAGAATCTTGGAAAACAAGACAAGTTTTGCAGTAATGTTAAAGTATAGATTCTTTATAAGGCAGTTGAGCAAAGACCTGGCTGCACTTTCACAAAAGATGCTTTTAAGTGAAGATGTTAATCATCTTAGAGTAAAATGTTGTTGTATGATGTGGAGTTGGAACCAGCTCATCATTGACCTTCCAGTGTATTTTCAGAGATTAAAATGCACTGAGAGAGATTACTCATCTTTCTCCCAGGGAGATTTGAACTACCTGCCTTTAGGTTGGCAGTGCAGCACCTTACGACTAGGCCACCAGAGTTCCCTTAGCAAAATGTGGAAGTGGTGATTTCTATACACAAAAGTATTTCAGCTATACCATCATGTACAAAAACCTTTTTTTAAGAAATATTAAGAGTGCAATAGAACTAACCCTGCAGCTCTTAGTGAAAAACGAACAGAATGAATTTTAAATGATAAAGGTAGGGAGTGAATGGAAAGAGGAACTTGATACCAAAAAGCTGATAAAAATTCTTTCAAGAGCTTTGGCAATTTAGGACCCAATTCAGGTAAATACTGAGTTGATAAAAAGTGAAATAAAAATTGTTTCATTCATGCAACACACTTTAAAAAAAAAAGGTTTCTATGTGCTAAGGATGCTTGCACAAGTTTGATGGGCGATTGACTTGTTCCAGTCTTGGGACACTCACCTTCTGGTTGAGACAGAGGCCTTCCGATAAGTGTTAACCACAGAGGTATGCGCACACAGTCCTGTAGAAGAGGCTGAGAGTTCTATTTGAATGTGAGTAGAAGGCAGCTCTGTGACAGATGACTGACCATCTTGACTAACGGAACAGCATAAACAGGAACTGGAAGTGAATGGTGTCCACGACCCAGTGAGAGGTGCCGCCAGCCAGTCCAGCCCAGTCCACACCAGACGTAGTGTCCTGCCCAGCTGTAAGACAATCAGCGCTCTGCTTTGTGCTCTTTTAGATCCTGAGATACTATTTTTATTTCCCACTTTGTAAATGAAACATGTTCCTTGTGAGATAGTGATAACAAGTTTTTGTTACTATTATTGAGTGAAACTTTGCCTAGCAAATTGGTTTTTTTAAAGAACATTTATTACAGTGCCCACAATGAAATCCCCATTTTCCACTTCTGCCCTGTACCTCCCCTTCCATGAATCCTCCTGCCCTCCCCCCTTCTCCGTTGCTGGCCTTTGTCATTGGGCAGCTGCTGTTCCGGCCTCCTGTGCTTGGTTATTCTAAGGTGGTGTCACCTTACAGGCCTCTTTTCCTCTGAAAGTTGGGAGAGGTGTCAGGTACATTCTGGATCTGAAAAGAGTCTCTGGGTTCCACCAGTCCTTGACCCTGGTCTTTTCTGTGCTGTATTTTGTCCTTAATGCAAATTTTTTTTCAAGAAAGCTCTAATTAGTGATCAGAGAAATTTACCTTATAAATTGGTATACTTGGGAGTAAAGGAAGTTGCCTTTAAGTGTTAATGAAGGACAAAGGCGTGAATGGCAGGTGTCTGAAGACCCACACTCGTCCTAAATTCTACTTTGTGAAAAGAGCCATTTTAGACTTAATTTATTCTAAATGTGAAGCTCTGGACTATTGATAACACTTTCCAGAAATGGTTCATATTAACTTTGCAGCCTACTTTTATTTAACATACCGTCTTGATACTATTTTGGTGATCTTCTCTGCACCTTTACCTCATTTTTCAAACTGCTCCTAAGCCCATTGAATGGTTATCTATGAACTTATAACACGTTACCAGTGGACATGAAAACAGTTACAGTGTGTTAAGGCTTTTTTAAGAGACTGCTTCAGTGAACAACTCACTTGAGAGGTTTCAGGGAATTAATTCCCCTGAAGTGTCTGATGAAATGGTTCTTCTACTAAACAGCTGGTCACCATCATTTTTTGGAACATTTTCATGACTCTGGAAAGAAGCAGTCACTCTGCTTCCCCACCACCACCAACTAACTCTAAGGCCCAGGCAAGCCCCAGTCTACTTCCTGTTTCTGGATGGCCGGTTCTGGGGGGTTTCCTGTATCTGAAGTATTGCGTGGTGATATCTTGTCATTGGCTCCTTTCACCTAGAGCAAGTTTTGAAGGTCTAGCCCCGTGTTTCACTCCTTTTTATGGCTCAGTAATGCCTAGTTGTATAGATAGGCCATATTTTGTTCTTCAGCTGTGCGTTTGGAGAGTGTGTGGTTTTTGGGGTGACTGTGAATAGTGCTAAGCACATTGGTGTACAGATTTATTTTTGTAGCCCTGTGTTTTCATTTCTCGGAAGTGAAGGTGAAATTGTCAGCTCATGTGGTATCAGTGTTTAGCATTTGCTCAGGTCAGCATTGATAAGTTATATTTTCCTTGAGTTTTAGCTGTGTTTTACACTTGGGGTTTGCAAAACATAATTTTAAATTGCTGTGATTTTTATGGCTATTTCCTCATCCATTCCTAATTTCCTGTCTTTCTACTTGTGTTATTTCCACGCTGTCACCACATAAGCCATCTATCTCCCTGTTTGCCTGTGTTGAGAACTGTTCTTTGATCTTTTGCTTGTGTTATTATTTTGTTTTCTAAGTCATCGATATCTGGTTCATTTTCCTTTAAATGTCTTGCTCTTGTGTTGAATGCATAAATTACCTCTTTTACATACTTAGTAACAAAGCTATTCATTTCCCTGTCATTCCAGCTAAATCCACAAAATGTTTTCTGATAAGAGCCTGTCTTCAGGTAACATGTCATTTCCCTTAGAGTGTGCGGATCCTACCACGATCTATTCCAGATTTATCCCTCCCCTTCTGTCCTCTGTT